CCATACCATTGCCACATCACCTTTGGGGTCATAAGGCTCGGGGAAAAAAGGGCAAAGGGGCTAGAATGTGGTCAGAACTAGAGTTCCCGCCCTGAAAAAGATACCTGAGTCTGCAGGAGAACCCACTGTCCCAAATTCCATGGGTAACCTTGGCCAGGCCTTCACCTAACCTGGACCTCAATTTACCTGCCTGTGCTATGTGTGTATGTGTGGAACTGGGGGGATTCTGGTGCTGGTCTCTCTGTGTCCTTCCTGTTCTGAGACACCCTCAAGATCTTTCCTGTTTTTAGGAGAGAACAGGAGTTCCAGACACAGGTTTCCCAAATTATCCTCCTAGGGGGTCCTAAGAATAAGCAACCCTATTACTTACTGGCTCCCCTTCTACCCTCACCAGGGTTCTAAGGGAATTATTTGCTGGTGGGCCCTGGGTCCCTGCTGGGCCACCCACATGGCAGCCAAACGTCATGCCACACTGACCTCCAGCTCACCTCTGGGGGTGCCCAGCCCCCTCTGGTCAGCAGGACTCCCTGGCATAACATACCAAGCTCAGACTAGGCCTCTGCCTCTGACCTCGGGTGTTCCCTCCTGCTCCCCAGGCCCCCTCCCCAGATCCAGTGCCCACTCCTTCTGTCCCTGGCTTCCTGCCACTCAGGCTGGAGGGGGCGGGGGGGGGGGTGACAGCTGTGTAAGCGATGGCGGCTGCCCCTTCCTGCCCCTCCCCCCCAGCTGTCTCTCTCTCATGACAGCTGCCCAATCAAAGGGCCGGGGGCTTAGCCAGCTCCCCCCCACACGCAGGGATCAAGTGTCCACCCTGGCTTTGTTCTGGAGCAAGAACAATCCGGGGGAGGGGAGGGCTCCTGGGGCCAGGCAACTCAAGTGGACTGGCCCGCCCCTTGGGGGATTCCCTTGGCTCTGCTAGCCAGTGTCTGGACCAACCAGGGCTTATAGACCCACCTGAGCTAGGGAGAAGGTGGGGGGGCAGTCTCCAAGTTCATCCCCCACCTCACATCCCCTGACATTCCCCTCAGCACCACCAGGCTCCAACCTAGCAGCCTCCTACTCCTAATCCAAAAGCAGCCATGCTGGCCACACCCAGTGATGCTGGGGAATGGCTCAGGACATCAGACGGAGCAGGGCGTGGCAGGAGGTGGACACTGGGCTTGGGGAGATCATACTGAGAGATCCTGACTCCCTTGCCTGTTCCCTTCTCTGGGTATGCTCCTCCTTCCTGATTACCCAGGTCTCCGCAAGAAATGCCCTAGTATCCTCCAACCCATGCACCCAGCCTCTCAGCCTTACAGCCTCCCAGGATGGCCATTCATACCACCCCTTGGGAGAGTCGGGGGAGGGGAGGCCTTCAGGGGAACAGCGTGGGGTCCATGAGTTTCCTGACACAAGGCTGTCCTGTAGACTCGATGCTAAGCAGCAAAGGTAAGCTCTGACAAGTTGGCTGGTCCCAGAAATGGTACAGCCTCCTTAGAGCATCATGAGGCAACCCCTCAAGAATCCTCACAGCCAAGAGAAACTGAGGCAGACCCAGGCCCAGACTGGGCTCCAAGAGAAAGGATACAACTTCTTGGTACATCCCCACCCACTGGTACCCATCCCCTCACTGCCTCACCCAAATTAAGAAAAGACTCTAGCTTTCATTTTCCAGGCTGGGGACTGGATCGTTCTGCTGCTCAACAGCCATCTTTGGCTCCCCAGTACCCAAGGAATAAAACTTGATCACCACAGACAGGCCTGGCCTCTGCCAGCTTCTCTTGTCTCATCTCCATCCCCTGCCCCCCTACACATCAGGCTGCAAAACACGCCTAGTACCTCCAGGACTCTGGGCTTTTGTCCGGGCTGATCCCAGCTTCAAATGCCCATCCTCCTCACTCTGTCAAAATCCTTCTCAAATGCCACCTCCTCTGTGAAGTTCTCCCCAAGCTTCCAAATCAGATATAATCACTCAGGCCTCTGTGCCCCAACTAAGCTCAAAGGAACCGTCACGGGCATTTTCAAGCCTATCTTTCTGCTATCCAGGAGGACAGGAGTTCCTCCAGGAGGGCAGGAGCCAGGACTAGGCTCAGTGCATAGGGAGAAGGGCCTGGAGGCATTAGGGACTGGAGATGGGGCTGAGGGTCCCAGAGAAGCAATGAGGATGGGGTGAGATTGAGGGCACGAGAGACCAGACACAGGGGAAAGCCAGGGCCTGCCAGGACAGAAATCCCAGTTTCCACTCCTCAGCACCTTCAACCCCTGTTCTTGCTGTTTCTTTGGGTCTAGGGGCTCCCCAGGCATATCACTGGGGTGGGGGATTTGCGCTGAGCTTTGAGACTACTAGAGGCCCAGAATGGGTTTCCCCCTGTGGAAGGGAGGCTGGAAGAAGAGCTGGGGAGTGGTATAGGTTTCACAAAGTCAGAACCCGAGGCCCAGAGAGGGAGGAGCTTGTTTATAAGGCTACATGAAAAGCAACTGGCAGAGCTAGGAGAACCAGGGGTTCACCTGTGCGGCCCAGGGCTCTTTCCTCAAGAGGTCAATGCCACTGGGCAGTGGTGATGGAGGCTGGAGGGGGGGCAGGGATGAGAGTAGGGAGGGTGGACACAGCCTGTCTGGGGACACAGGGTGGGGCAAAGCCAGCCTCCCTGTGGCCTGGGCCTGCCAGGGTGTGTGGGCCGCCTGCTCCCAGCCCCCCACCCTGAGCATGCAAGAAGAACAATCCCCTTGTGTTTGGGCAGCCTGAGCCTGCATGCTGATGAAGCCTGGGGGGTGGGGGCTGGGATGGGGGTGCTTTGGAGATTGAGGGGGTTCCAGAGCCCAGAGAGACTAGGGGACCTTCAGATGGGGAAAAGATAAGGCCCCAGGTGCTGGCTCTGAAGCAGTGAGGGTAACCTCAGGAAAGAGTGAAGGCTGGAACTAAGGTTTAAGCTCCTGAAGAGTCCCTGGGGTCTAAGAGCTCTTTGTAGGAGAAGGAGGGCCCCTAGGGACACATGCCCTGTTGGTCCAGCACGAAGGTAAACAGTGTGGGCTTGGTGGGGACCAAGAGCCCACATTCTGGGAGGAGGGAATGCAACTGGCCCTGGGAGCATCCCCTTGAAGACCACTCCCCAGGGTGCTGGAGCCGGGCAGAGCACTGGGTGCCACAGGTCTCAAGATGGCGGGCTGGGATAGGGGGGTGAGGGGCTGGGCACCTCCCTCTCCTGACCAGGCAGGCATGAGGACCAGGCTGAAGTGAGTACCCAGAGACACCCCCAGCCCCCCCAGGGGGACTGGCTAGAAGCTAGGTCAGAGCTGAGGGGCTGAAGAGCCACAGAGCATGAGGGACCACTCTGAGCCCCCAACTGTCACCTCCACACACCCCTGGTCTGGAGATCTGTCTGCCCCCACGCTCTCACCTCCCTACCCCGCCAGGCAAGGACTGCAGAGAATGGGAAGGGGTGTGTGGTGAGCCAGGAACTGCAGGGGGATGGCAGATGGGGACAGAGATGGAGCAGAACCAGAACCCAAGGCAGGAGGTCCAGGGAAGAGCAGGTCCGAAGGACAGAAACAGCAGGTGGGATGTGGGCCTCAAATCTGGGGTCTTGTCCAGGACGGCCCTCCCTGACGCCGGGGGCTCCTCTGGCAGAGCAGCGCCCCCCACCTGTGCAGGCCTGGGCCCGTGTGGGACAGGGAAGCGTGTTCCTCGCAGTCTCCCGGTCTCCCAAACCGGGACCCCGGCCTGGAGACTCCGGCGCGGGCTCCCCGCCCCCCCGGCTGAACCCCCAAACTTCGCGGCCCGCGGTGCCCCGCCCGGCCCGCGCCCTACCTCGCTGGGGCTGTCCTGCGGCGGCGGCGGCGGCGGCGGCGGCGGCGGCGCGGCGGCTGGGCCGCTCAGTCCCACATTGTCCCCGGGAGAGGCGGCCGCTCACAACTGCGAGTGACATCAGCTGCGAACAATGAGGGGTTTGACAGGCGCGGAGCCCGGCCGGCCCGGAGCCCGGCTCCGCGCCCCCCCCACCCCCCGGCCCGCCCGGCCCGGCCCCTCCCCGCCCCCTCCCCGGATCCGATTACAGCGCGGCGGGCCCGCCCCAGCCGCCCCAGTGCCGCAGCCGCCCGCCCCGCCCCGCGCGCCGCGGTGCGCCCCGAGCGGCGGCCGCTTCCGGGAGGGCTGGGGCGACCCTCCCCCGGCAGCGCGTCCCGGCGCCGGGAGCTGGGGGGCGGGGGCTCCCGCCGCGAGCGCCCGCGCAGCCGCCCCGCCCCCGCCCCGGCCCCGGCCCCGGCCCGGGCCCCGAGCCCCAGCGCTCTCTGCCCCGCAGGGCCGCCCGCCCGGCGCTCCGCCGCCCCCCCGCTCCCCCATCCCGGCCTCGGGCCCGCCGCCAGGCCCCGCGCTCCGGGCTCCGGGCTCCGGGCTCCGGGCTCCGGCTCCGATCGGATCCCCGCCCGGCCCGGCTCCCGGCTCTCCTCGCTTCTGCGCCGCCCGTCCCCGCGCGGGGCTCTCGCCCACCAAGCCCCGCGCCCCTCGGCCACCCAACCGCTTCCTCAAGGCCCGGCCCTTGTCCGGCCCGGACAGGTGACCGGACCGGCTGGAGGAGGCGCCTGAGAGCGGTGTGACCCCGTGCGCCCCGCCCCGCCATTCCCCCAAAGCTACCCCCAGGATGCCTTGTGGGGGCTAGGGTCGCAAGGGCCGCCGCGCGGTCGTGCACTCTGCTAGGGAATGGGAGAAGTGGGACGGTCCCCAAGCCCCCTTCTTCCCCCACCGCACCTCCTGGGGGGCAGATCTATCTCCCTCCCCCTCTTCTCCATAATCGGCTCAGCCTGGTCCCACTGACCTCCACCTCCCCCCACAGCTGAGTCTCTTGGCACCTGGGTGTGTGTGGGTGGGGAGGGGAATCCAATCTCCCTTCCCCTCCATCTGGCCGGGTGGACAAAGGGCAGGGGGACCATCTGGTCCCGCCAGAGTGGGGGAGGGGCCCACAGTGGCGGTCCCCAGGGGCGGGGGAGGGGCGGCGCTCCGGAGACAGCAAGAGCCTGCGGGGTCTAATTGCATCACTTTATTTCACCGACCTCCACTCTCCGCTCTCCGTCTCCCCAGCCCCCAAACCTCAGAGCAGGAAACAAGCTTGGCTGAGCAGGTCCAGGCCTAATAACCCAGGGAGCATCCGGAAAGAGGGGGAAAAGCAAGGAGATCAGAGGTTCCAAGGGATGGCCCTCACCTTCTGGGAGGCAATTCTAGTCTGGGGCCAGCTGCAACCTGTGAATGGAGTTTAGGGCTGGCTCCCATAGGGTCCCCACCTTCCTGGACGGTAGGGTTCTGCATGGTTGGGAGGGTGCATGTGCCCATGCAAATGAACCACAAGAATGCATGTGTGTGAGTGCACGCACTGCAAACCTGCTGGTGACTGTGCATGTCCGTCAAGTTGCCTGTACGTAACGTAGGTGGTTGCTCCCAAGTGAAGGGTCATATCTGGGAACATGGATGGCTCTAAATGCATAAGCATGGATGTGGGCATGGAGGTATCTGTGGTCTAAGAGGCAGGAGTAGGGGATGTGAATGCCCTGTAGGGCAACCGAAGGAAGAGGTTAGAGGCAGGATGGGGAGGCTGCACAGGGCAGAGGAAGGGGTGTGAGTGAACAGGAAAGCCTACAGGAGAAGTCCATCTAACAGATTACCCTCCACCAGATTACGTCTCTTGATTCCTGAGGTTTTTCCTCTTGATTTCACCTCCTTAGTCTGTCACTGCAAGAGAAAGAGGAAAAGGCAGACCCTAGAGACAAGAATCCAGATAGACAGAGACACACCTGTTGCGTGTATATGATGAACAGGAACCCATGGAGGGGGTAGGCAACAGAGAGAGTCCAAGGCAGGCCAGCAGCCACCCCCCACAGAGACAGCAGGGCTGGGTCTCATGCTAGCCCCTGCAGGAAATCCAGCAGCCCCGTGTGCCACTCCTCAGGTTTGTCAAGGTAACAGGGGTGCCCTGCCCCCTCCATGACGAACACCCGGTGGTTGGGCAGCTGCTTCAGGTGCTCAAAGCTGGTCAGACCCATGGGGTCTTGGTCTCCATATACTATAAGAGTTGAAGTCTAGAGAAAGGAAAGGGAAACAGTAAGCTGGGATCGGCCACACCAGCCCAGCCTCCTAGGGGTCAGCTGTAGGCCCACCACCACTTCAGTGTCTTCCTGGGGTCACCCCAAATGAGAGGGAGAGACAAGCTGGTCCAGTGGGCAGTAGGAGAGGCCCCAGCTCCTGAGGGACAGAGGCATGAATTTTTGCTGCCCCAGTACACAGTTTAGCACAGGCCAAGGCACAGTAATCTGCTAAATAAAGATAAAGGGCAGAGTTTGGTAGTTTAGCTCCCCCCAGAAGCTACACCTTGGTTACCCTGCCCCAAGTGACAAGAGGCCCCCGGATGGACCCTTTCTTGCTCGTGGCAGGGGCATCTCAGCCTCCCACACAGGGATACCTTCACACTGGCATAATCCGCAGCATTGATTTTGTCAGTGCAGATGGGGGCCACTGGCACATAGCCCCGGAGCTGGGAGCCAGGGGCCGTGAGGAAGGACAGGGAGTACATGCCACTCAACGATGGGCTGATCACAACTGGAGAGCCCAGGTCCAAGGCATCCACCACTGCTGCCAGGAAGCTGCTGGGGACCAATTCCCCGATAGGGGCAGGGGCCACTGCTTCCTTGGAGCGCCCCAGACCTGCAGGGATTCAGGTGTGAGAAAGATAAGGGCATTGAGTAGGAAAATGGAAGAGACAGTCCCTTCCTTCAGGAACCCCTCCTAAGTCAATCTCTCTGTGCCAGGTTCCTGCAGCACACAGTGTGCCCAAGTTTATTGCTACGGCAGCCTAGATCTGTCATATCTGTGGCAAGCACGAGGCATTTCCCTTGTCTATGCCCATCTCTCCCAGCAGTAGAGTGTCCTGGAAAAGATCAGGCTCTGAAGTCCAACACAGGTGGGGCCAGGTTTCAGTTTTCCACCCAACTGTCTATGTGACCTTAGGAAAGTCTCCTCACCCCTAAATGTGTCAGGAGACTCAGTCTCACTCCTTAGGGCTTCCAACAGAGCCTATACTATGGCTCTGTCAAAAGATTTTAATTCCAATCGGCTGAGTACTGATTATTAGGTGTTGGGTATTGGTCACATATTCACGTAATCTCAGTCCATTCTCACTAGAGCCACCCATCCAAAATCTGTATCTCCCATTACAGATGAGGAAACAGGCTCAGAGACCCTGAGACACTGCCCTGGGCAACCTGGTTAGAAGCAGCTGGAGAGTGTCCAGACCACATCCCAATGGAGACCAGAGAAAACTGGAGGCCCTGGCAAAGTACACTGCACCCTGTCAAGCTCAGGGCCTAGCCTGGCTAGGTCCTTCCAGTGTCCTGGTGCGCAGTTTCCCCAGTGAGGCCCCCACAACCCCTGTCCAGAAGCCTGCCCCGGAAGTACCTGGCAGGTCAATGGCCACAGCCCGGTAGCCAGCCTGAGCCAGCTTGTGCAGCGTGCCCAGTTTCTGCCAGGTCTCGGAGGAGAAGCGGATGCCATGCAACAGCAGAACTGAGAAGCTGGCAGCCTGCCCGCCGCCTGGGCGACTCTCTCGGAAGAAGAGGCTCTGGCCCTGTACCTGGATGGTGCCCTCCTGCTGCTCCACACCCGCCATCCCTGCCGCTGTCCTGGTGAAGCACCTGTGGTTCAAGGCCAGACTGATGAGGAGCCACAGAACACCCTTCTCATGGAGCAAAGAGAGCAACAGAAGGGGCAGGGGTCCCTCTGGGAGCAGCAAGGAGGCCTACAGGGGGCTACCAGAACTCTCCACATGCTGTGGGGTGGGGAAGACAGGGGTGTTATTTATGCCTCTGCCAGTCAACTGTGTGGCATTGAGCTTCAGTTTCCTCTTCTGGAATAAGGGGCAATAAAGCCTACCTCAAGAATTAAAGAGTTGGGGAAAAAAAAAAAAGAATTGATAAGTGAGGGTGCCTACCCTTGGAACTCAATACAAAGAGCTCCCCTTACGATCATTGTCCTCATTGTTATTATCCTTTTCTACAAATGGGGATAATACAATAGCACTCAGCTTAGAGGCGGTGGGTGAGACTAAACGAGCTCAAGCCGGGAGAACGCTGGCCTGGCCGCCGTTCCCAGCGCACAGTGGGCATAGTAAGTGCTCAATCAACAGCAAGTAGATACTTTGCTTATCGACCTCTTCCTCTTCAAGGCACTGTTAACAGTTTGTAGGTTGGCACCACAGGCCGGAGCCGGTCGCGGTTGGAGTTAAAAACCCATTTTCCGGAGGCGGAAGCCGGAACGCAGAGCTGGGGAAGTCTTTGGAGTTCCCGCCCGCGAGGCCTGCGGGGTGTCGGGCGCGCCGCCCGCCGGGCCCAACGCTCTGACGCCGAGGTCGGGAGCTCGGCCACCGGCCATCCGCGCCGCGGCGGCTCGCTCGGTGCGCTCCGCGGACTTCGGTTCTGGCTCGCTGGGCCCGGTAAGGCGCACGCGGAAAGGGTGGGGCAGGCCCGAGAGGGGACCCGGGAGCCGAGATCGGAACGGGAAGAACTGGGGGCAGATGGGGGTGGGCTCTCACTGGACAGGAGAAGAGAGGGTCGGGGCGCAGGGCTGGTACCTGGGGAGCTGCGTAGGCTCGCGCGGATAAGAGGCAGGCGAGTTCTGGCGGCGACTGGGGCCCGGGGCAGGGAAGCGGGGCAGCGGCCGGGCGGAGGCGGGGACCGGGCCGTGCCGCGCGGCGCCCTCTTGTGGCCACAGCCGTGGCAGGGCCGGTCGGTGCCGCTAGATCTTTCTTGTCCCAGCGGCCTGGTGTCCCCGAGCCCTTGGGCGCCAGGTGCTCCAAGCACCCGCCTTGCGTTTGGCCCCCAGCAGCCTGCCCCAGAGGCACATGAGGCGGCTGGAGGAGAAGGGTTCTTGGGGTCTCATCCCTGCTGCTCCGTCCTCGTCCTCCCCACCCTGCTCATCCCTGGCCTTGACTGCCCAGGCCCTGAGACGTGCGCTGGCAGCAGGAAGCCCGACAGCTTTGAGTGCGAGGATCTGCCAAGGTCCAGCCAGGTGGCCTCGATCGTTTTCACGGCGTCTCCGAGCCTATTTCCCGGCCAGGAGGACGGGTGTGATGTTGCCTCTTTGGCACGGGGTCCATAACGCAGAGTCCTATGTGCCCCGCGCTGCCTCCCGGTACCCGCCCTGGCCGCCACCAGGATAGGTGCCATAAAGAGCAGTGAAGGAGGCGCAGGCCACCCTAGCCTGTGACAGTACGAGCGCCTGTGTATTTGTCGGGGTTGGGCTGAGACCTGGAGCTGCCAAGTAACAATGACATCTGACATTAAACAGCGAGGCCTCCTCTCCAGACACAGTGCTCAGGCTTGACCGAGGGTCCTTATCCATAACTCCGCTGTATAGACGAGGGACTGACCCACGATAGTGATGGTCTGGTGGGAAGAAGCCGGTGGCTCTCCCCTGGCCCTGGGGCTGAGAACAATCCGGGAAGTCTGGACAGTGGGCCTGGCCTACTTGCTTTCGGGCGCCGCCTGGAGTCCCCCCTCGGTGGGGTTAGGAGGCGCGGGGCCTGCGACTGCGCACTGCGCAAGCGCGCCTCTCTGGCCGCGCTCTCCACCGCCTGGTGCGCACAGCAGCCTGCAGAGCCGAGGAGGCGGCGCAATGGTCGCGGCGTTGTTTGGCTGCTGGTTCCGCGTGGGCGGGGCCCGCCCTGGGGCTTCCGGCCCGGTCATCCCGGTCGGCCCGGTGAGTGTCCCCGGGGAGTGAAGACAGCGGGGTGCCCGGGAGCGGACCATCCTGGCTCCGCCCCCTGCCCCCGGTGGCCCTGGGGCAGAGTCCTGCGGGAGTGGCAGGCGCTGGGGCAGGGAGTGTGCCTGTGTCCGTGTGTCGTGTGTGAGCGCTGGCGTTTGTCTGAGTGCGTTCTCGGGGGTCTGAATGTGCGTGTGTGTCCATGTGGTGTCTGTTTCTACGTGCCAACCTTTGGGGGGGGGTGTCGGTCTGTCTGTATGCTTGTGTCTGTGTATGTCTGCTGTGTGCATTTCTGTGTACATGTGACTTTGAGGGTGTGTATCTACCTGTGTATTTCTGAGGCTATAAGTGTCTGTTTGCTTGCACATGTGTTTCTTGTATGCATGTGTAGTTTTAGGATGGTGTATATGACTATGATGAATTTGAGGGTGTGCATGATTTTGAAAGCATGTGTGTCTGTCTGTCCATCTGCCTTCCTGATGGCTGACCGTGTGCCTGATTTTGAGGGTATGTATTTCAAGGGATCAATTGCTCATGGGCCAAGCAGGTCTGCCTGTATGTGCCATGCCAGGAATAGGTTGTGCAAAAGAAAAGCATTGTGGGAGCAAGACTGGATGTTTGTGTGCATGTGTGTACACCTGTGTGTCATTGTATACATGTATGCTAAGGACCTAAGTTGGGTACAGCTTATACCACATCTGGTATCTGAAGCCATATCTGTAGCATATGCTGGGTTGCGGGCTAGCTGCCCACTCATGATCTGCCTAGGTTGCTAAGGCAACAGTCAAGGTCCCGCCTCTCCCTTACATCAGGCTTCCCACAAGGAGAGGTCTGCTCCAATTCTCCCACTAGTGGGAACCTAGGCTCAAGTGGAGTGGGAGTTTGCTGTTCCTGGTCAAAAGGAAGAAAAGAGTGGCCTGTTCCTCCCCTCAGCTCCTGGCTCTCCATCAGCACCAGAGGGGCTGCCCCCTCCCCCACGGGACTGGGAGCCTAGGGGTGAGGGCTTGAGAAACATCCCCAAAGCTCCCAGGAAAGGAGGGTGGCACCATATTGGTCTCTAGCTGGGCCAGCACCCATTTGGCACTCAATAAAGATGTGTTTACTGGAAACTGGGAATAAGGCAGGTGTACTCATCCTAGGCCCAAGAAATGATGACAGGACAGCCCTGGGTCAAGTCCACTATATTACTGAAATATCATGGGAAACTGGAGAGGGCTGATGCAGGATTATTCTTCTTCTCATTTTACTGACAAACTGAAGACACACAGCCAGGAAGTGGCAAAGCAGAGCCTCAAAGCCAGGGCTAGCCGTTCTGTCTGGGTCCTGGGTCCTGATGTCTGTCCTCTGGATAGGCAAAGGACCCAGACTGCAGAAGTCTGTGAAGCAGGTCATGAAACTGGGGTGGGGTTGGGAGGGAGCATTCATCTCTCTAACCTCCATTTCTAGGTGTACCATGCTCCTCCCTGGTTGTAGTCCCCTTATGCCTCAGCATTTCTCCATCCCAGGTATTCTCCATGAGCCCTCCTCCCACTTAATATCAGCTGAAGTAGAGCATTAAATATTTTCATCAGTGGGATGGGGCTTGCTGTCAGTGGGATGGGGCTTTATACATAGCCATTCACTTGTGATGACTCTCAGTACTCTATCCTCACCAGCAAGGCTCCAGTTCATCCCTCACCTTTCGGCCCTGTGATCTCTTCCTTGGCAAACTGAGTGTAGCCTGGTCGTTAGCCGCCCAGCCCTGGGTTTGGATCCCAGTTCTGCCACTTGCTACTCTTCATTTTGAGCAAGAGAATTTACATCTCTGAGCCTTTGTTTCCTCATTTGCAAGAGAACTCTAATTATATCTGCTCCCCAGTGTTCTTGCGTGGATTCGTGAGCCCTGGTATGTGAAGGGCCAAGCACAGAATCTGGCTGTCATAAGCACCTGATGAACGGAAGTGGTTTTAGCTGGCACAATGAGGATGGTGGTCATGGAGCATGCTGTATATCCAGGGACATCTCAGATGCTCCTTCTCAGGCTGTAGGGTATCGGAGCCCTTGCCCCAGCATGTGGAGAAGTTGGATATGAACCTTCAGACCCCTGCCCAGAGCAGGATGAAAGGGCAAGGGCTAAGCTCTTCCTCTGCTGGGGGCTTCTGGGTGGGATTTGGGGATGGGGTCCAGGGACCTGATGGGGCCACAGCCCCAGCATCTTCTTCCTCTCCTCTCCTCCAGACTGTGGTACAGACCTCCATGAGCCGGTCCCAGGTAGCCCTGCTGGGCCTGGGCCTGCTGCTCATGCTGCTCCTGTATGTGGGGCTGCCAGGCCCCCCTGAGCAGACCTCCTGGCTCTGGGGAGGCCCCAATGTCACAGTCCTGGCTGGTCTCACCCCTGGCAACTCCCCCATCTTTTACCGCGAGGTGCTCCCGCTCCACCGGGCACGCAGGTGGGTGCTGACCCCAGGGTGTAATGGACAGACTAGGTCCACAGGGAAGTCCCTGCATGGGACCCCAGCTCAATTCAGGGCTCTCAGGGCCTGGGGTGGTGGTGGGACAAGCCTAGAAAGAACGAATGGTGGGCCACTCTGAGACCCTCAGGACACACACTCCCCTGTGTGCCCACAGGGTGGAAGTGGTGCTACTCCATGGAAAGGCCTTTAACTCCCACACATGGGAGCAGCTGGGCACACTGCAGCTGCTGGCGCAGAGGGGCTACCGGGCCGTGGCCCTTGACCTCCCAGGTGAGAGCCCCCACTCCGGGGTTTAGGGAGGCAATATCTAGCAGGTACAAGGGGCAGTTTCCCAGAGGGAGGAATTGGAGGGGTAGAAAAGCCTTAAGGTATGGTGGGGTGGGTGCATTTGGACCCCAATGTCTGGGGCAGGTCACAACACAAGATGGTTATACTAAAAGGTCTGTGTCTTTATTTTCTACCTTGAAAACTAGAATGTGGAGTGTTGCATGCCACAGAGCTAGTAGAAACATGATTCACTTCACAAGTGCTTGCATGGAGAGATCTCCGTGTACTTATTATGACAAACTAAGTAGCTTTTTGGTCTTTTAGCCATGCAGTTGATTTATGTTATCATTCTTGTCTTTAAAAATCGAACAAAAGTGAGGCCCTTGGAGACCCATGCCACAGTTCTCTCCTAAGTGTTGCCCAACCCCCTTCAGGCATTTCCATATATAGAAAGACAATACCCAAGATTGTGTGGTGAGGTTAGAAACATGACTAGTGTCCTGTCTGCTTAGCAAATCTATCTGCAGCTTGGTTTTCTCCCCTTAAATTACATCTCATAGAGCAGGCCAGTCACTATGAACCTCCCTGTCTGTACTGTGTGCCATTGGAAGGATGGACAGGTTTTATCTGCCCATTTCTCTATAGGTAGATATATAGGCTGATTTAGAGTTTTCAGCATCAGTGGAAATGCTTGAAACTGAAGCAACTTTGGACATGTTTCTTTGAGCATGTAGGCAATAATTTCTGTAGGGTAGCTACCAAGGGTAATTGATGGGTCAAATGACACACATTTAAAAATTTTTGACAAATATTACCTTACCCTCCAAAACTGCTATATGGATTTGTGCCTCCCATCAGTCATGTACGAAAGTGCCCATTTCCCCACATCTTTCCCAGCACTGCACATTGCCAGTCTTCTTAGTTTTGCCAATATAATGGATGAAAGATGCTTTTCTAGCAGACCTATCACATTACAAAAAATGGCTTCTGGGAAGTTGGGAGTAGCACTGCCCTGTGCCTCTGCTTTTCCCCCATTGTGGTGGGCAGGAAGTCCTAGTTCCTTTCCAACCTCCCTCAGCTACTGCCTCCTGCTGTTCCCAGGTTTTGGGAACTCTGCACCTTCCAAGGAGGCAAACACAGAGGCAGGGCGAGCAGAGCTGCTGGAGCGGGTGCTGCGAGACCTGGAGGTGCACAATGCCGTTCTGGTGAGCCCCTCTCTGAGTGGCCGTTACGCCCTGCCCTTCTTGATCCAAGGCCACCACCAGCTGCGTGGATTTGTGCCCATCGCACCCGCCTCCACCCAGAACTACACCCAGGAACAATTCTGGGCCGTGAAGGTACTGGAAGGAGGGTTTCCAAAGGTCCAGCTTCCTATTCCTGTCTCAAGTCACGGGGCGGGAAAGGACTCATGTCTCACTTGGAGGAGGCATGGCCTCATATGGATAGAAAGAGATGGGGTGTTTGGGAAAGATTTCCTAAGGAGGTGGCTAGAGGGTCAGTCCCCATCAAGCTCCCCAGATCACAGCCCCTTACCTTGCCCTGCAGACCCCGACTCTCATCTTGTATGGGGAGCTGGACCGTATCCTGGCACGGGAGTCACTGCAGCAGCTCCGGCACCTGCCCAACCACTCTGTGGTGAAGCTTCGTGATGCAGGCCACGCCTGCTACCTCCACAAGCCTCAAGACTTCCACCTTGTCCTCCTTGCCTTCCTTGACCACCTGCCTTGAGTTCACCCACTGACTAGGCCCCAGACCTGGCCTGAGCTTGGAGAATCTGGACCAGTGCTCCACCAGGGAGGCAGCCCCTGGGATTGGAGAGTGGAGAGTGGAAGCCAGGGGGCCATGCCCAGCCAGGACCTCTCATTTCATCTCACAGACACAATAAAAAAACACATTTTTGTCATGTTTGGTGAGTGACAGGTCCTATTTCCTGGCATTACAGCAGGTAGGGTGGGAGTGAGAGGCAAGCCTGGGGCTGCTTTGGGGCTGGGAGCTGGAAGGAGGCTTCTGCAGCCTGGGAAGGCTAAGAACGTGGGCTACTTCCTAGCTGGCTGCCCTCACCACTCTGACTTAGTTTCCTCACCTGTAAAATGGGCATGATGGTAATACCTGGCTCAAAATTTGGTTTTAGGTTTGACTCAGTCTGCTTAAATGGAGCATTTGGACACACAGGGCTGGAGGGGGTCAGGGCAAGCAAGTATTACTACTGCTGCGTGACCACTGGGATTTGTGGGAAATTCATGGTCTGGCAATTGAGCGAGTGAATCAGGAATGCAGGACCTATGGCCAAAGGGAGCAGGATGTGCAGGGATGGAAGTGAGGAATGTGGTTTAACAGTGAACATAGCATTGCTGGTGAATTACCAAGCCCGATTGCCCCTAGGTATGTGTGGGTCAACAAGCAGATTAGACTTAAACACCAGGAGGGTTGGGATGGATCCCCCACCCTGCCCTCCCAGCCTGCCTCCTCTGGGTACAGAGGTTGAAGTATTCAACTCTGTCCTCCATAAGCTGACTTAGTCCCTACAGCAGGGGGCAGAACTGGCCCAGAGTACAAAGGGCAACCAGGCACACAAGTGGGCAGCTACAACTGTGAGCAGCCTGTGGGTGGCCAGTGCAGTGCGACACCTGTGCCTCTTTATCCTTCCTGTCCGGTGGCTGTAGTAGAGCCAGGGAGCCTGGCACAGGGTCAGCCAAGAATATGCCACATGTATGCTTTTGTGCTGTTTCTCCACCTCTCACACAATCATTCAGCCTCACGGTTACATCCTGTCACCATGACATTCTCTGTCACACCCAACCAGCATCTCACACTCGTATTGTCACACTCACAGTCATGCACATTGTTGAATTAGCTCACACAGAGGCACATTCGCACCATCTCACATGCAGTCACACATGTGCCCCTCTGTCCATTTATCCTTCGCTCGTGGCACATTGTCCAGCGTCTGCTCTGTGCCCTGCTAGTGACAGATTCCTGCGGGTACATGGACCAGCCTCCTGGAACTTACAGTCTGAGGGGACAGATATTGACCAATAACCTCTCCACCCAGGGGGTGAGGCAGTTAGGGAGGATCTCCCTGAGATGCTGAGACAAGGAAAGGGGAAAAGTCAGAGACTAGAGGGAGGGGCTGGGGTTGCAGGGAGGGGCCAGCTCTGGCAGGACTTTGTAGCGCTGTACCCCAGGAGGGAAGGGCGCCTGAGGGGGCACACGCAACCTCTGTGTCTAGGTCTGCCCTGCTCCCTTCCTGCTCAGTCTGGAGGCTGCAGAGATAGAGCCCTCCGGGGGCGGGGCCACCCGGAGCTCGCCGCCTCGGCCGGGCGGGGCGGCGGGGCGGGGCGGGGCCTGGCCTGCGGGGCCCGCGGGGCTCGCAGCGGCCGCGGGGCGGAGCAGGTGGCGGCGGCGGCGGCGGCGGCGGCTGTCCCCGAGAGGGATCGCGTAATCCGAGACGAGGCTGGAGCCTGGGGCGGGCTGAGACACGGTCGCCGACTCTGCCACAGAGACTTGGGCGGCCCTTACTCTCAGTCTTCGGTCCCGCCCCGCGATCCGGTGCAGCCACGTGGTGGGCGGACCGGGGCGATTCTGAGCCCTCCACCTCGCAGGACCCTGAGCCCTGGCCACAGTCCGGGGCAGGCGCTGAGAGGCGAGCGCGGGCCAGAGACCAGCGAAGAGCGAGGTGGGACCCCAGAGAAGGGTAGGGGGATCAGGGGTTACGTGGCATAAAATCTGGGCCGTTGGGAGAAGTGTTTTGAGGAGGGCAGGGAAAGTCCATGTCTGGATTCAGACCTGGCCTCGGCTACTCTGTGGCTGTCTCTGAACCTCTCAGCCTCAGCTTTCTACCCTGTAAAGTGGGCATTCAGAGGCACGAACTTCCTGGAGCTCTTTGGTGGATTCAATACGGGAATGTGTTGAAAGCGACCAGCACAGCTCCTGAAACAGAAGGGGGGCTCTCACGTGCGGGGAACCGCCCTGGGGAAGGGCTGGGTGCAGATCTAGGAGTCCCCTGGGCCCCCGCGGCTGGGAGGGGTAGGTAGCCACTCGATTTGCCCCTAGCTCACCGAGCGCCGCGCCATGGCCAGCGAGGGTCTCGAGGGCGAGCACCCGTCCGTGACGCTCTTCCGCCAGTACCTGCGGATCCGCACCGTCCAGCCGGAGCCCGACTACGGTGAGAACGCGGTGGTGCCCGGGCCTGCGGTGGGATCCGGGGCGGGGACTGCTCTACACCGACGCCCACCACTTGTCACCCCGCTGAGCCCCACTCTGCTGCCCCAAGTGGCGTCTCCACGCCTCTCTAGCGGGTCCCCAGGTCAGCAGACTGCTCAGCAGCCCCTCCGGCTGTTGTACCAAAAGTTACTCCTGGTGGCTACGGAAGAAACAACTTCACCTCCCTGCCCAGGGTCTGAGGTGGGGGAGGGGAGATGGGACAGCCACAAGGGAAGAGGCTCCAGAAGCAACGGTGGCAGGACAGAGACTACAGCCCTCAGGGAATCAAGCTTGGTGGCTGGGAATTATGGACGTGGGTCCAGACCCTCGCCCTGTACTTACCAGCTGGGAGACACTGGCCCATCCCTGAGGAAGAGAGCAATTTCTAACTCTGGACTTCCCACCTGACCTTCCACAAAGGGTCACTGACTGGCCAAAGATAATCTTCCCTGGAGACAGAAATGCGGGTGTCCCCAAGGGATGTGGAATTGCACTGAGGAGGCAGTGGCCTGTGTAAGGGTCGGCTCCTCTCTCTGGATGTGCCCCCCAGCTCTCCCTGGGCTGGTGGGAGGTGTGGGTAGAGGCAGAAGTAGGCCCAAGACTCTATGTGTCCCCAGGGGCTGCTGTGGCCTTCCTTGAGGAGAGAGCCCGTCAGCTGGGCCTGGGCTGTCAGAAAGTAGAGGTGAGCCTGGGGCCCTGCATGGGGTTGGGAGGTGCCCCTGGCGTACCTCCTTACCTTCTGGTCCTCTCCAGGTGGCCCCTGGCTATGTGGTGACCATTCTGACGTGGCCAGGCACCAACCCCAGACTCTCCTCCCTCATACTAAACTCTCACACGGATGTGGTGCCTGTCTTCAAGGTGTGTGGGGGCGCGGGGAGCGGTGCAGGCCTTGGGGTACACAAAGATGATGCAGACCCCCCACTGGTCCCCAGGGAACCTAAGGAGCTGGTCCCAAAACTGACTCCCAACCTCATAGGACATCATTTTGTCCAGTGGGCCATTCTGTGCCCAGGATAGGGGAGGAGGTGGGAGTAGAGATGAAGAATGGCAATCAGCTGCCCTCTGCAGCCCTCTTCTGTCCCTTTCACCAACCCCACTCGTCACCCCAGCCGTAGGGTTGGCTTCTAGGGCAGGACCACAGTTGAACAGAGTAGATTAATGACTAAATGTGGGACTCGGGTCCCTCCTCTCATCTCTGCCCCAGGAACACTGGAGTCATGACCCCTTTGAGGCCTTCAAGGATGCTGAAGGCTACATCTATGCCAGGGGTGCCCAGGACATGAAGTGTGTCAGCATCCAGTGAGTGTCCTCCCATTTCCTGTCCCCCCACAGTGTCCCTACTGGCCCATCGAAATGACCCAGGGCCTAGGGTGTGATTGAGAACCTCGAGGCCGAGGAATTTACCCCTTCTCTCGGACAGGAATTGTCACCCTTACATGGATAGGGAGACTGAAGGACAGGGCCTTCCCATGGTCCCCTGCCAACTGCGGGCTCCAGCCTACCTGTAGGCATCCAGAGGCTCCCCCGGTGCCTGGCTTAAACCCTGGCATTGCCCCTCAGGTACCTGGAGGCTGTGAGGAGGCTGAAGGCTGAGGGTCGCCATTTCCCCAGAACCATCCATATGATCTTTGTGCCAGGTAGGAGTGGCTTGGGGAGGGACACTTTTAGGGAACAGGAGGATATGTTGGCAGAGGCAGCTCCTTCATCCCAGGTCCCTGCTGCTTTCGCAGATGAGGAGGTTGGGGGTCACAAAGGCATGGAGCTGTTCGTGCAGCGACCTGAGTTCCGGGCCCTGAAGGCCGGCTTCGCCCTGGATGAAGGTGAGCAGGGTGGCAGGCCCCTGAGCAGCCAGTAGGGGGGATGTGGAGGCTGCCAGTGGCTGGACCAGTCCACCCCCTGAATCCCCTTTCCCTCCCCAGGCCTGGCCAACCCCACCGACGCCTTCACTGTCTTTTACAGTGAGCGAAGCCCCTGGTGTGAGTATGGGCTTGGAGGGAGGGCATCTCTGTGAGGTGGGGCACTAGGCCAGAAGGGGCAGGGGCCTGCCAAGAGTCCTGCAGCAAGTTGGGGCCTGAGGCCTTGAACCCAGAGCCTCTCCCTCCCAGCCCCTTCCTACTTGGGCTTCCTCCTGAGTTTCTGAGGGTAGCCCCCAGGGTGGTGGCGGGGGGCTGTGGGCGGCAAGGGAGTCAGCTCTACACTGTTCTAAAGCGAACAGTCCTGCCAGAGGAGCTTGGAATGAGGGGAAGACCTGGGCCCACTCCGAGGCTGATCACTTCTCCAGCTCCCCCCCCTTGCTGAAGACACCCTCTTCTCCCTCATCTCCCAGGGGTGCGGATCACGAGCACAGGGAACCCAGGCCACGGCTCACGCTTCGTCGAGGACACGGCGGCAGAGAAGCTGGTTCGTGGCACACAGGGAGGGAGTTTGGGAATTCCCAAGGCTCTGTCCTGGGGTCACTCTCACATCTGACCTCGCACTCTCCTAGCACAAGGTTGTGAGCTCAATCCTGACTTTCCGGGAGAAGGAGAGGCAGAGGTGAGGCAGCCTGGGGAAGAGGCTGGGGGTCTGGGCGGCTGTGCCAGAGAGAAGGGGGACTCTATCGTTGTTTTCCTGCTCCCCACTGCAGGCTGCAGTCAAACCCCCACCTGAAGGCAGGGGCTGTGACCTCGGTGAATCTGACCAAGCTAGAGGGCGGCGTGG